TCGCCCAAAAAACACAGACAGACATGAAGTGCTTTACCAACCTGTTGAGTCTTGACTGTTTCTGAAAATTAATTTATGGTGAAAAGACAAAAAATGAAGCAGACTCGTCCGTTTTTAGCACACTAGGTGTGGCTGGTAAATTTAAAATTCAGCTAGTAGTCAAGTTTAAAGTTACGCTTGGCAGTCTAGACACACATTTACGGAAGATCATTAAACAGGTGTCATTTAAATATTAGCTTGTATTGGTGGTAGAGGGAATCGTAGGACATACGGTGGTGAAAGACCGAACTACACAACTCTGTAAAGCGAATGAATGGAAGTAATTATTCCTTTTCTGGCCTTTTTACCACCCACTGTGCTCTGAAAAGCTTTCATGCCTCAACAGGCGCGCATACCTATTTAGTCAACAACAGAGGATAGCCAATAAGTAAGGTTAGCGTTGTAGAATCATGATAGACAGCGTGTCTGGAGAAATGAGAAGGCCGGTGTTGGTGAAGGACACAACAACTTTACACCCTCACAGGCTCGTCGTTTTATTCTTGACAATGAGCTAAAGTCAGTGCGCGTGAAAATAAACACAAAGCAAATAAACTCGGGAACAGTTCAATCATGTCTAGCGTTAAAAAAACACTTTCAAACGTTCTTGAACACATTTCACGTTTGCGTGATGGCAGCCAATGTCAAATACTAATTACACTGTTTCTGACCAGTTAATAGTGTTTTCTATCTTTCTTAGCTACTGGAGAGGTTTGAATCAAAACTGCAGATTGTAATATCGATAGAGGTTTCAGCCCCTAAATAATGTTTTCTAAAAACGTCTTTATCTAGTTATAAAATTTCTGCTTTGTTTGAGAAATAATAAATATCAGTGTGGGTAAAGTTCGAAAAGACTGCAGTTCCATGGGGATCAGTAATTGGCTCCTCATTTTTTCCACACTATTACCAAGTTTTGGAACCAGATATAGCGTAGAAGAATCTTCTGACAATCACCCCATGTACCTGCTATGAGGAGACTTAGATCCATCCCATTGCTAATGGGACGGCTTCCACCTAGGGACTTTTCCAGCTGAATACCACAGCCGATACGATGCGCTCATTACAGCATATTTACGTAAATCGATTTCTGAAACATAATAACTTGGGTCAGCATGTGGTCCATCAGCGTCATACAGTCATCTGTTGTGTTGTAATGGCAGTTGGCAACATCTAAAGCCTCTCGCCCCACACAAATCTTGCATGAATGAATGTGGTTTTAAACAGAGGAGTATGGTGCCGACTCCCGCTTTCTCAATGTAGACTCGACGTTTCTCATTTTGTGGGTGAAGACTAGAATTGATGCAGACAAGCCAACTAGTCAAATGTCTGCACCTCAGCACAATTAGCTATCTACAATCCAAGGGCAAAATCTGTGGCTTTCTGAAAGATGTTGTTGAAAATTCCATTTGATTACTTGACAATCACCTCGATGTTCGTGGGGGCTTAGGTGCTGCTTGCGAACCACATTCTCTAGTTAATTCAACTGCATCGCCATACGCGTGCTCCGCTTGCACTACTTTTTTTTATTTAATTTGACAAGGGTTATGGGCTACTCATTTAATTACCCCAAAGCTATATATTAATTTAAATAGAACCTACGCAAACCCAGACACGTGAAGTCATAGACGGGGTGCGGAGATGATTGCACTTTTCAATTTACATTTCCGCGTCTCATAAAACACTATAATACTATGCTTAGCTACCGGGGCCTCTGGTTCATTTACGTGACTGTAATATACAAAGGGAATTTTACTCTAAGTGCTTTGGTCCTGTACGTGATCTTTTTTCATTGGAAAGTTGCAACAGTTGAAGAGTTGTGATAATGTATGAAGCTTTATGTATAAAAATGTAAAGAAAATAATGTTCCCTCTAGGGAAAATATTAAGGGATTTGCGTAAGAGTTTAAGAGCATGGAAAGAGCGCGTGAGCATTTAGGTGGTGATGCGTTCATAACAAATTGACTTCTAATGAATACACTTTCTCGGCGGTTTTGAAGGAACGGGTGAAGCATAATGCGATGCAGCCTGTGAATCTTTTAGAAGATAAGGGTTTCCACCGAAGCCTGCCGATCACCTTTATCCGGATGCAAAGTTTCCGATTTAGTATCTTCCTCTGTGCTCGATGATTGTGTTGAAAGGCAGCGTTTGTCCACCTAAACGAAAGACACAGGACATGCCACTTCCATAACCTGATAAAACTAGGCATTTAAACGTCATCCCGTATAAAAAATAACTTGGAAGTATTGGAACACGACCTTGGTTACAAAAGAGTCAATGTATCTACATTTAAGATATCAAAAAACATGTGCATCAGACATTCCGCACAACAGTAAGTTTCATGGAGTGCTGCCCGATCCATCTGGCCACCAGCTTCAATCGTAAAAACTTACCATCCGTGAATTTAAATGCTTAAGATGCTGTAAATACAATCCACCATTAAAATCAAACAACACAACGATTTTAAGTCAAACAAATACAGGATTGTTACATGTTCTATGCTTCGTGTTTATGGAGTGGCATGACTACGTTGAGTCATCAAGTGGCCTGGAATATCTTATAATTCGCGATCATATGCTGAGATGAAGCTAACTCACCCGGCTGCTTTCATCATCACAAATTTGAGACGATGATTGAAGTAATTACTTAGTATCAGAAGACATAATGTCTAGAGAGAAAAGTTTACCCCTAATGCTTAATAAAGTATTAAATGTAGTAAAAAACAAGTAGTATAGACTTTCCGTGTTTTGATGACGGTTTTTGAAAGTGTATTTTCAAAGGTAACTAAAATAGCCACAACAAAATGGTGGACCCATTATTTTGGAGCTATGATATGCGTCCATATTGTGATAATCTGTTTAATTATTATCTGAGATACGGATGCTCCCATTAAGGTAGTTATGCTAAGCAAATTTACTGAGTACGGAGTTAGTAATATTGGGTTGCTTCAGGTAAAATTATTTGCAAAGTTGACAGTCATTAATTTTCTTGTAGTAGGTTCAAGGGATGAAAACAAAGAAATGTGTTTGCCAATCTTCTTAAGAGAGAACTGTGAGTCGTCTCTGCTGCCACACAGAACACTCTAGTGCCTCAGTCCAGCGATGAGCTAAACGGGAAACTAACGAAGAGGATGTTGCACAAGTTTTGTTGAGTGAGGCACTACGTGAGACCATCGGTAGTTCTTTCAAATAATTCTAACAGGGGATCGCTTAGAAATTCTTCCAAGGAAGAAACGGATGCAATTTTTTGTGTACTGTGTTTGCTGAAATCGCGGAAATAATCCGTTGACACGAGCAAATCAATTTAAGATTTTGATTTTACACCAAAAGATTGTCTTTTGACTAGGTCAGACTTCTGCTCTGGTCTTTAGCATCCTAATTCTTACCAGAACTTATATATTTAAATGCTAAAACTAGTGGTAGTATGATTAAATTGTATTTATCTGACTATCAAATCTGACTGTTTTTTGAATTGAATTCAAACTTATAAAGTGTGCAGCTTGTTCATTAGGAAGACTTTCTGAGAGTTTTCAGTAATTGGATGCACTATTCTGAGAAATTCTTTACCTTTTACTCATAAATAGTGTAATTAGATTCTTTAAAATTGATGCCGTCCACGTACAGCCGTTGCTTTTGGATTTTTCATTGTTACTTCTGCTGAATTATAAGGTAGCTGCTCCCAGGGGCACAAAATTATTTATTCAGCCATTTCGTAACTGTGCACAACTTGGGACCACTTGTAAGAGAATCAAAAAAGATGTTTTTGCAACCACTATCGTGCAGGGAGGTGACATCGGTAATACAATTAGCATTTAATTAGCAAGCAGAAACCGACAAACTGTTTCAAGTGGGCCTTGCTAATAAGCTTTCCTCCTGTTCTTCAAGTTCCTTTCCACGGATGGTTTATGGCAAAATCCGAAGTTCATGCAAGCAAAATTGCGTCATTTTTAAATTGCTCTAGTGTTTATTAGTCCTCCGAAAATCACCATATGCTGTTTCAAGTCAGTACTCCCGTCCCATCACGTGGCGACTTGGCATCCACTGCAGGTTAACATTCCAAATGAATGTTATTATTATTTGTCGATCAGATAGTTCGTTAAAGTGAATGCTCAGAGTGATGTTTCCAGGCAATTTCACGAGGTCAGGCCTTGGGGAATGAAACATTTGACGAGCTAATCTAATCTACCTGAGCTGCTTTTTCTGTTCCGGTTCGCTCGCCAAGCCCCATTTCGACCTCGCAAGGTTGACCTGCAGCGGATGCCAAGTCGCCACGTGATGGGACGGGAGTACTGGCTTGAAACAGCATATGGTGATTTCAGGAGGATTAATAAAAGCTATAGCAATTTAAAAATGACACCAAAGTTGCTTGTATGAACCCGGGCTTATGGTTTTGTTGCGCAAACCTCGTGGCCTTCATCGTCATGTGAGTCAGGAGGGTTTCGATATCGAAGTATACACATTCGTTTGCACAAATGTCCGTTTACATACATATTTGTAGCTGAGGGTTTGGTAATTTTAATTTAATTGAGCTGTTACAAGCGTTAGCTTGCTGTCCAAACTTAGGTTTTTTTTCCTTCAAAGACTGTGATGGGTTCTTCGGTAATGACGCTGCATTAGTAAAAGTGGTACTGGAAGCTTTAGATCTGTATGTTCAAACAAATTTTTCCGATCTGCAAGTAGTGACCACTAGTTGAAGGGTTAAAAATCCAGCACATATGGCTGTTAAAACGCAATAACTGATACTCAAAACAAGTGAGAACTTTGGGAGTTTGGGATTGTGCCTAACTTTGAATTATAATTTTATGATCAGGTCCCAGTTGGGTCTGAGCAAAAATCTAACCTTTTCGAGAGTTGGTGCCAGCCATTGCCACCTGGGGAGGCAAAACTCACGAATGAGACCCGAGCCAATTAGCACCAGCGGAGTCGCCAAGGCGGTATACCCAGCCGTCGCGAATTCAGCCGTCACAATGAAGATGATGAGAATCGCAAGCTCGGTGAAATTGATTGCCGTGATGACCGCTAACTGAGCCTTGGGGAGGTTAGTGAGAAACTCCCATCGGCCCCAGTACTTGCGGCGAGTTAACAAGGCAAGCAGGGCGTTTACACTATCCAATCCACGTAGTCCGCATAGCCCAAGGTAAATAAACATGCCGTAAAGTGCCGCAACAGGGATTAGGCGTAGGATGTCGCCGAGGTATACGGAGAAAGTCACGAGCACACCAACTATCAAAACACTAACGCGTTGCTCCACCAAACTGATAATTCTGAAAAAGAACAAAATTGTCTGTGACATTTGTCCGTTTCTACATTTGCTTAGGCATTGACGAAGTCGACGACATTTGCAGAACCCTGTCCTGTTCATTGCTAAAATAATTTTCTATTCTTCCACTTATTAAATGATTAAACGTGCAAAAATTAGGAATTAATTGCCATTTATTTGATGTTAAAAGAAAGTTAAAAAAATTACACTTAATGTATCTTCATCCCTAGGCAATTTAACACTTACATAGCACCTTCAATGGAGGGTACATCTTTTGCAGGAGTGTGATAGCCCTTTCTAAGACTTAAACGACCACTGTGACCAGCAGACTAGACACAACTCCCACTGCAATTAACAGAGATAATAGCGTGAGTCTTGTCTTCGATCAAAACTAATCAGAGCCCTGTGGGAAGGAGTAGCCATCAACGAGTTGTGTGGAAAGTGGATGACAGATCCAGACCACGAATTGCTGAGATTTTTTCAAATGTTCAAATGACAAAGACCTCGCGTAATTCACTGTTTTCATAGGCTTTTCGCAGTATGTGCATTTTTGGTGGTGAAAGCTAGTCAGGCATTAACATGTAAAGGAGGACAAAACTAGTATGAATAATGTCATCGATTTTTAGGCATTAATTAAATTTTCTAATTATAACTTTGGAAACAATATGTTTTAGCTGGAAAGACCCTTTCCTAGTCAATTAAATTCCATCTAGTTGCACTAGTCTTAAAAACGCCATTTAGTTAAATTCTATAGTTACTATTGCTGTTTTAGTTTGTTTACTTTTTAATTGCTTAATTGCAACGACCCTGTAGATTTACGCTGATACACTGAGGCTAAGTAAAAAGACCACATTTTGACTGCAAAAAGTTAGTCTAATTTGATAATTGTAATATTGAAAAATGCCTAGCGCAAAAACTACTTAGAGAGACACAGAAGTCTTTACTTAAGCCAGATAATCGCGAGAAGCATCAAAATTACAGTAATGTGCGCTAGGCCATCAGTGGGTAGTCGTGTCGGTCTTGTAGTGTTGGACTGTTAGTAATGGTGCACGAACAGAAACTCATAAGCTCCCATGCACGCATGAAATGACACAGCATGTCCAACGAGTGAATGAACAGTGGCCTTCACCTCGTTCCGTCGCCATTTCTACGCGGCAGCCAGACTCCTGCTACGTTGTCACGGTCTTGCTATCTAAAATCATATCAGTGCTGTGCCATCTCACACGGCCTATCTCTAATGTGTTTAAAATTTTCGCCAGCGGGTCTGGCCAGAGCCATCACTTTTATTATTTTAAACTGTCTTTATTCTAATTTCTACTCAGGCCTAAAGGTTATGTCTCTGACAATGATAATCGGTGGTTGGAGGTTTGCGAGACACATCTCAAGCAGGTACGATTTTGTGGGGTTAATTCATTTTTATCGCCACCTACGCAGTCACCATGTCATCACAAATGCGTTATTAAACGATCATGAAACTATACATAAAACTGCCATATGACCTCTGTTGGTCAAGGTCATCGACAGTCACCGCCCCCACTTAGTAGGCAGGCGCAATTTTTTCTCGCACATCTGACTATTCTGATGAATCGGCTGCCCCGAAGTGGAAATGGAATCCACTTGTAACCTTGACAGTTTCACGGGATTCAGCATTAATGTAAGGTCATTGAGGAGAGCTTGACTTTGTAACCTTACTCTGCAGGTTTGCCTGGTGGAGGGTGGGGATCGACCTTCACAAGAGCCATGGTGTTGGCGATTGTGCGAACAGGAACGCCGGACATGAACGGCCAACCGAGGGTGCATGATATCAATGGAAATAGGACCACGGTGAGCACATGATCCATTACGAAAGGACTCGGTTTCTTTGCCTTGGGCTTCAAAGCTGTAACACTGCAAAGAGACAGAAGCTAATAGTGACTGAAGAATCAGGGTTATATAGGAAATCGCCCTTGTTCCCATGTAATTAAAAAGTTTGCGAGAACATGAAGATTAGTTTTGGATTATAACTTTCGCAACATGAATATGTTCCACCTCAAATTTCTACTATTTTCTGTGCACTTAATAAATCTTAACACAATAAAATACAGTAACTCCATTGCTTTGAATGGAACCACCCTCGGTACCCCAATTGAGAGCTAAATCGAGTTTTCTTTAAATAGTCACAGGAGCTGAGCAATGCCTGGTCAAAACGGGCGGTTGCACACATTTACTCGAGTAGCCCCGTGTGCTGGCTTGTGGGCGCACCATCTGTAAAATTTCCCTCAGGTGGAAACCTGGTACTCTCGACTAGAGCCACATTTATCGCCATCATGGTTTGTATGGAGGAGATGTGTACACACGTTCATTACATTGGTACACTTAGGACAATATGTCTTCAAAACCACCAATGTATTATTTGATTTGTCATGTTAGATTCCAGTGGATTGCTTTGAAAACTTAACATAAATGAATACCAATCCACGTTTTGATGTTCTGAAAAATACGGGGCTACAATTTGCTCGTAGTGTTTACTGATGATTTTATACGGCTCCTTAAAAGTATCGTGAATTCAATATTTTCCAAAGTCCAAATATGAACTTGAATCCGTTGTACTTTATTATTACATTGATAAACACCATTTGCTTCGGACGTTAGCACTACTTATTTTTTTTTATTTTCTTTGCACTTTAGCCAGTTTTTTATCTCATGAATCGGCATCTTAACTGTTCGAGAAGGCGCTGACTGACCATGAATGAAAAGACTGAACATCCGATCACATAAGTTTAGTAAACATCCCTTATGGTGAAAATGTGTTCGCATTGGTTGGTGGCTGGGTGAATATCGAGTCTTCCCATTCTCTCTAGAGGGTTTGTCATTAGTCGTGCTTTGTTGGGGAAATTTCGTTTTCGTGTAATGCCATGCTACTTGAAAAAACGTAACATAACTAAAATTTTTTATTCAAGAAATCAAAATGAATTGACGATTCCTGTTTGGGAATCGAGTTTTAGATCCAAAGACCATAATGCCAAAGTTCTTCAGAATCATAACGCAATTTGTCAGATAACTTTATAAGCCACAGTTCATAATTTATCCGCATTAAATGGGAAATTCTACAATTTCAAAATGCAAATTTTGTCTACAGAGCTATCTTACCAAGTTTAGTCAGTGTCTTTGAGGGATCTAGGCATGATGGATGAGTCATTGGGTACAAAACGGAAGCGGAAATTCACATTTAAAAGTTAGTAATTACTGTCATCACTTAATAATAGAGTATAATTGATTGCCATGGAATTTGTTACCACTCACTCACGTCTATATGTTTTTTTTTAAATTACAAGGCCTAGTGGCATTTATGTTTGATTATAGATATAGAAATTGGGTCATCAACCTTCTCTTTCCATAAGTAAATTCTATTTCAAAACCAAGCTGTGAGTATGGCATGACATCCTTAAGAATTGGAAATGAAAGGTGCAAGATTTCTAAAGATGGACGAGAGAAGTATTTTTCTGAGGACGTCCAAACAAATACCATACTGTCTTTCTAGATTTAATTTTTATAAATCACGATGCATTGTGTAAATCTGTATGTTACACAACGAATCCGCTTTCTTTGAAGCTGCTGGTGTCATCATTTTCCTTATGTGGTGCTTCTCTAGTATTTAAACGAACAGTTCTTAAACTGAAATCAAGCAGGAATGGTCCAATTATGCACAGTTTTCATGTTGTTTAAACCTTACCTACGTTTATTGAGCACCTCCTAGCTAAGATTGGAAATAGCCACACTTCTAAAGCGGCATTCTGATCTTCCACCGCACCCTACAGGTGGCTAGGTATACATGCACCAAGTCGGCCATAACTCTCGCGGTATCGAATGCTAAACTACGGAAACTGCGTAATCAAATGCCCAGAACAAATGACTCACCAAGCCAAATTAGTTCTCAGCCTTGTCTGATGATGGGCCTTTTAACCAGGGGCTTCGTAGAATTTTGTTGAATGTCAAAGAGCGTGTAGTGTTAATTGCTTTGGGTATTTGGAATAGATAATTCTCTTTAGAATCCCATTGGTTCATAGTAATACAAAATCAAATTTAGTGTTTTGACACTGTTTTGGATTTTTCGACTATACCATTTTGATAATTCCAACACTAGTCAAGACCCAAAATAAAAAAAATATTGAATTTTTTTTATGTATTTTAGTGACAATGTAGTTCTCTTCTAACTCGCTTTAGGGGTTTGTCTATAAACATTTAATTCAGCAAAAATCCAGTAATCAAGTGCTTATATCTTGATTTAATTAATGTTATTTAGCTAAAAACAGGTAGCTTCTTTTACCAGCAAACCATTAAATTGAGCATTTTACAAAACTGAAATTTCTTTGGATAATTATCTTATCCACAGGGACTAAACCAACCCACATATTGAGTTTCCATGTTATTTTAAACGCAAAAAATAATCTACTTATTTTAAATTAAATATATTGTTATCATAAGTTGTACAGTTATTTCTTCGTTCCGGTGGCAATCCAAGGAATATTTAAGCCTTAAAAATCACCGTTCACCGATAAGGTCTTTGAAGGAAAGTATGCAAACATGCACATTTGAAAGTTACTGAAGTCACTAACCTGTTGAGTGCTGTTTCGGTGAAAACAAGGAGAGCAAAAAAGAAACCAAGAAGGAGTGCCAGACCGTGCAGAACCGCAGGGGAAGGCTGAGTGAAATTAATCACTTTGCTGATGTCGATCACGTTTACCCATTCATTAGGGTCATTCTCTGATGCTGCTGGAATATCAAGTTTTTGCACGTTGTAGCTGGAAAAAAATGTGTACTCTACCAAGGTAACGAAGACGATTCCGAGAGGCACATTGAAAGCACCAATCCAGTAGCGAAACTAAAGAAAACAGCCGATTAGTAGTTTTATTTGACATACACTTCGACAAAAGCCTTAGTTACGAAGTAATAGTTGGAAAAGTAAATACGCGTTTAAGACCTTAGATGCACCATTCGGGCTAACTTTTTTTCTAAATGAAATAATTTTGACACTTATTTACAGTAACGGGAAATGCTTGTCGGCATTGTCAAGTCAAAACGCAAGACTACAGTGGTTTAAACTGCGAGGAGTGTCTTAGCGTTGCTTACCTTTCGTCGGAAGAAATGACTCCTCTTAAGTTTGTTAATAAGAATCGAAAAAATCAGCATGCAAGTTGCGAGAAAGAGATTAGCGGCGGCCTTTGAAGCGGTCTGATTGCTTTGAAGTGCGCTTTGTAACTCTTCTGTGTCATTTACATTGACTGGGATTGAGACATCTTGGGGTACGGCCTACCGTATTCAAATCATTTCATTAGTGAACTAAATAATTAGTCAAAACATTCATCTAATTTCTATAGATATGTATAATCTGTAAGGCTGTTTACCTTGAACATAGAGAAAAGGGCTTTCAAAATGAGAAAAAGCGAAATAAATCCACTAAACAACTCCTCCAAGGAACGTCTGGCGTAGGTAACCAGTGGCGATAGATTTAACGCAATCAAAAGGATGCCAAATGTGGCCATATAGACTCCAACCCAAAATCGGTAAATTTGGTAATCAGCATTCATTTTTGCTGCGAACTAAAAATCACATAAATTTCGTAAAGCAACAGAAGAGACAAGGTCACATGATTTAACTTAATGTCAGCCCAAGTTTTTATCGCTTAAATTGACTCCAATACGTCATACAAAGGCTGAGTACCTAGGGCATTTGTAATTTATTCTTGACAGTTTTTTTACATTACATTATGAAATAGCAAAATCTTCCAAATTATAAATGATTTACAGCGGAAAGTAATAACACCGATTTTCACCCGAGACTCGAGCGGGTGGCGTTATACCATGATTTTAATGTTTGATTTTGTCCTGTGATCTTAAACAGAATTGCTACCAAATGTCACCTTTATGATTGGTCTTAGTATAAGCTTCTTTGTGTGTATCTGCGTAAGTATGTAATAAATTTTAGCCTTAAGGCTATGAATGCAACCATGTCATGGTTTGAACTGACAAAACAGAAATCATCAACAACTTTCCAGCTCTTTTTATGTCTTTACTCCCTTCACCAAATGTCCACAATGTTCATTGAAATTATCTTACAGTAATTGTTATAAGTACACAAAAGTGATGAGTGCTTCAGAACTTACAAGTGCGATGACTGTTTCTAATATAAATCCTGGTCCAGAAGGTCCGATACTTCCTAGTGGTTGTCCGGCAAGAAGGGAATAAAGCACAGTGAAGATTCCAGTGGCGAAAATATTTAAGCTTATGGCATAGTTGGGGTGAACTTCGTTTACTAAAAGTTGCGAAAGTATAATTTAAAACTGCAACTCTCAAAGAATTATACTATACATTGGGTTTAATAAGTAGTACCAGGCTTTTCTGCAAATATCTTGAAGCCCGTCCACGGAGCAAATATTTCAAGAAATTAATAGCTAAATGCGCAAATAAGCGTAGTCTTGATAACAGCAAAATTAGTGTATTTACTTAATTAACTATCCAAAGAGTAAGTATGCACATTTTATGAGATAATTTTTAAAAAAAAACTCATGTCACCAACATGTAGACTCCATGTATAACCTACCCGATTGACATCACAAAACACTAAATCAGTTTTGTCAGTCGAGGGAAGCCCCAACTCAACCTAATCAATTGATAAATGATCAATGAATGCAAAAATTTAATTATTTTGACCTTATCATTGTACATTATTTCTGCCTTGGCAGTCCTGATGCATTGTCCTAATGTAGATGTAATCTTTTTCATCAGACACTTTAGATGTCACTCCGGATCAAGTAAGATGCTTTGATTTTTGGCATCTTTTTAAATTTTTAAATCTGTGAAGAGACGTTTATAACCCATGTTTTCAAGACTACACGTGATGTAGACACAATATTTCTTCTCAAACGGCAATTATTTTACTGCAAGCCGGTCCGTAAAGGAATATACTCAGTGCCACTGTTTTCCTCAGGTAGTCGAAGTTCAGAAAATCGCGTTTGGTGAATGCCAGGCATAACTGGTTACTAGCAGGATTCCATCAACGTATTTGAATCACCATCTGCAGTACGACTTTCAAATATGGTTTTTGTGAAACTATGTTAAAGCCGAAGTGGAGGATGATAAATTCGTTTAGTTCTCTGCGCCAGACCACCAACTACGTCCTGTCAAATGTACACGAACAGACATGAGTCTTACGTGCTGGTGTCGATTCCACTAGACATTGGTGGTCGACGCGCCGCGTTCCATAAATTATTTTTTCATCTGCCAAACTGATATTAGTCATCGTTCAGGGTATTAATTGCAGACTGATCAAGTGTTCAGTTCTCTAATTAGCCATATTTCTATACAATGCCTGAATTATGATAGACTATGGTTACCTGTGCTCTGAAAAAAATGTTCCCAATAACTTATGAGAAATGTGTGTATTTCAAAGTGAGCTCATTATAAATTGGGTCAAAAAACAAAAAGGGCTTATTAGTAGAATCGTCAGGCATCGTTTCAGCAAAACTAAATAGGATAAATTTAATCTACCAATTCTTACTGGAGGAACGCAGGGAAATTTTGGTTTTAAATGAAATCACTATAAATAAATGATACTTTCAACTAACTCAAGAAAGAAAGTGATTAGAGGATTGTTAAGGAATAATCCTGTACTAGGAACTTTCTACCATCAGCTAATATAATTGTAAACCTAGACTACAAACGTTTTAAGGTTTGTGTTGCTAGTTTTTATTTTCTTAAAACACACACAAAGTATTCACCGACAAAGTGTGATAAGACGTCGAAGCAGTGCTAAGGCAATTAACCGCATACGTGGGTTTTGGCTAACAAAACTCACAAACGATAACAAATAGCCGATAAATATCGCGAAAGTTACAAAACGTCTGCTCACGCACACCGAGACACACCTTGAGAAGTGAATTAGTGCATAGCAAAGATATTGTGGAGGTCGAAGTGGGTGTTGAACTTCAAAGTAGCAAAACTCTACAATCTGATTGAAAGACATCAGATTGCTGCAAAAAATTTGCCGAAGTTGATGTGATAAGAGCTGATTTTAAAGGTAGAGAAATTCCCATAACGGACTTTAATTTTATCCCCAAACAAAAGGGCCCATTTTGTTAGGTTCAGGCTCGATGAATAGTCGCTTCGACCAGCATCCTGACCAGGGGGACTGCTGTCACCACAAACCAAGCAACTTCAATGCGCAATAAATAGGGTTATCAAGCCCTGTTCACACGGGACCACACCAACCACACACCGGCTGCCACATCCTGGAATATGCATAACTAATTCCAACGCCCTGTGCGATGAAATAACGATAGACGTCCCCGTTTAACCACAAATTAACGCTTAACTCATTTCTCTCCGAAAATTAGTTCAGATCAGAAATCATGTCAGAAATAGGGCTCTCCAAAAACGAAAATAGGGTTTTGCTTTAAATCTGGCATCAAGCTGCAAATTAGTTGCGATTTTAAGCTTAGCAGTTTCATGTACAACTGTGCTTCTAGATTTAAGTTTAGGTGGTTCAACTTGCATTCTCGAAATTTTTTGACACTAATCAAAGACGTCAAGCAATAAAAGTTGTCTTTTTATTAAATTATTTGATGAGGTTTAAGTGTGTGCACCTATCATCTTATGGGTCCGTAATATGTTGAGTGGCAGTCAACTGCTCCAGAGCGCTCGTATTGCTTTGACAATATTCTAGGTTTAAAACAAAAGCGGTAGTTTTGGACGATTGTGACTGAAAACGTCACTTGAACCAATCAATTATAAAGAGTAGGTAAATGGAGAGACCATAAAGATTTGAAAACTTCACAGCAGAAAGGTAACATTAAAATTCATGGTGTTAAGATGTGTGGTGATCGCATTACTTCATGGCCATTAACTCGGTCCATCGTGGTAATTCACACCCTCCAGTAACCCCGTACGTCTGTTCATTTCCCTCTCTGCACTTCCCATCCCCTATGCGGACGTGTCCAGGCACGCAGCCGTTTTTACCTGTCCCCGTGCACGTCAGCAACTTATGCGAATGCGCAACTTAGGGTAAGGGTCAGAGACCTCGATGTGAGCATAAAATGGAAAGCAAGATGCGTTCCAGAATCGTATTTTACCGAGTAACAGTGAAAAACCCGCAGACTTCTGCCGATTTGAATGCATATGCTCATACCCTAAAAAGGTGTAGGGTAGACCTTGGCTAGAAACCTTAAGATTCAGACCGCATTTATTTACAATTAATTGTACATCGAGTCTGCACAATTTGTATTGGAACATCAATGAGGACATAAATTTGTGCTGTTTATTATGGGTCCAAATGCGAAATGGTAGTTGATTAAGGTAACAATGTGAGTTAGCCTGACAGTGTTTGCACACTGCCGAATGATTTCTTCCGAAGGATGAAGTATAGCTAGGTAGTCAGTCGTGAGTTTGCGATATGTAATTTGCCTTGGCAAGACAGTTTTTCATTTTCACACATAAGCGAGACATGGAGCTCACACTTAGATTAGTTCTCTGTTGATGTGAACTGAACTTTTATACTTATACGGTCAATCCTAGTTCTAAATTTGAGCCCCAGGAAATGACAGCATTTGCTACTAGCAATTTCACCCAGTAATCCATTTACTAAAGTTGGCATTTGGCCAAAAGTTAAGTCCATGTACTCATTAGCAATGTCCGCCTCGAGATCTCCCTGTTCTACCACGATATAAAGTGACTGTATTTTAAATTGGAACAGTCGATCCATCATGGGACTACTTGCTTACCCACTTTTATCCTATAAAGCGATTCCTAACTGAATAATATGATCTTGCCTTAGGAAAGTTTTTAAAAAGATGTTTGGAAATAAAGCGTTTACTTACTCATTAAAGTTCCAAAGGTAATTGCGGGTCCAAAAACAACGAAGTAGATAAAAAGAATACTGCTCAACATCGTTCCTACATTGTCCTTCGTGAAGGCATCGGTATAGTCACTGGGTAAGCGAGAGGCGAAGACCTTAACACCCTTCACAAGCTCGTTGAAGGGAGGCCAGAGGCGCTGGAAGCTGTGTTTGGAGCAGAAGTGCATCTTGCCGGACTTATGACCCACATCTGAGTCAAGGAACTGACGATTTGACATGTCCGCAGCATAGTCCTCAAACACTGAGGAATGTATCGGAATTATATGGTCAGTAGATAGCTGTGTTAGAGGCAGACGGTTCCTGCCTTTTGCTTGGCTTAAAGGCCTCTAGGCTTATTTATATATTCAGATCCGGTGAGGTGGACTTAACCGGGTCTTCGCTCAAAATTACTACTTTGTTATTGATTTTCCTTTTTTTAAGATTCTAGATAAGAGTAACTAAGTGAATTGTGCGAACATCAAGTCTAGATTTACTAAGGCTTGTTTTGTTACAGAGCATGCAATCCACGTGCTGATTAATCAATTACTAAGAGAGAGATCTTTAAGAAAATAAGTAATATCTGTCTCATCAGTTTAAAGCAGGACATTGAAAGACAAATTCACAGGCCTTCAAGTGATATTTACTCAGTTTCCTTGCTATGCACATTGAATACTACATTTTGGACCTGCCCCAAAAAAGCTCGCAGTAGTTAGTAACTTCATTTTCTTAAGCATCGGTGAATTTCGGTTCGTGCAGCATTAAATGGTTATTTTAGTTGAATCTCTTGTTAAGTGTGCTGACGAGTGTCTTTGACGAAAAGCAACTTCGTAATTTTGTGGGAAAATCTTATGAACTATTTCTGCAACTGCAAAACGGGTTATGCCCTTGCATAAAAATGTTTCCTGGTTCACCTAACTCGTACAGTCCAAAATCTAGATGCATCTACGGTTTCCAAGGTCCAAAAAACCAATGCCTCCTCTCACTGTGCGAGTCGTGCATTCCTTAAGGTTAAGCTAAAATTGCATTACTTAAAAACATTCATCGTCTGAAGGTATGTTGATTTGGTGAAAGTAAAATTTACTACTGTCATTTCTTACGAATAACTTTTAAGTTCTGAGTTGACTATTAAACTTTGTAGTCCTATGTAAATAAAAATGTACTCAGAGGGCATACCAAGGTCAGATCTTTCAAAATACACTTCGTTGTAATAAGCGATGGGAACGTCGATCCCTCCGCTGTGATTTAGAACCTCTGGAAGACCACTTGAAAGTACAATCATATTTTTACGGAAACTGATTGCAGATTGGTAGAGATCCGCTGGCTTCTGGACTCGATAAAGATCAGCAAGAAATTTCTAAAGACGGTAAAATATGTCTGGGTGACAGTAAGTTTTTGTGTCTATAAGTCTGGCTTACTCAACTTGCAATATCTCATCAAGGTGGCTTAATTGCCAAAAGTTTCTTCCCAAATACTGAATGGGAACAGTGTCATAGTTAAATATTATCATGCTGCGCATATAGTGGCCATTAACAATGAGACCTGGTTGTGGTTTGTCATTATTAACAAGTGACCTTAATCACGGGAGCCCTTAAATCTACTGCCAGCTATTCAAATGCTATTCACTGGATTTGCTACTACTCGTGCACTCTCTTCATCTCTCTCCGTGACAAGTCTTCACCCGCCTAGTTCTGCCCTTCTGTTTTGCGACCTTCTGCGATGAAATATTAAACCACCGTCGACAGCAAAAATATGAAGAAATTTTACAGTGCAGGAACGTCATTCTGCTATTAGTTACCGGTTTTGGTTGGGCCCTCCTCTATACCTAAATTGCCTCATTCAATGCAGCCTTGTTCTGTGCACGTAGATGGAATGGCTGTCTGTTCTTACCATATGATATGAAATGGGAGGCCTTTTTAAACGTTTTTTCTGACTTATGAGTGGGAGGCCTTGTTGCTTTAATTTACCAACACACCTAGTGTTTCGCAACGTGGAATCAATGACTATTTACTATATTCATGTTTGCACCGTTGTTGCTTAAAATTACCAGTCTAAACTGGAATACTCTTCATTCAGTCTGTGAGGCCTCGTCATCACGTCTCTTCGTTCAACATCAAAGGAGACAACACCCCACAGTAAAGCTCACTTTTACAGAGACATTTCTAAACACAATTAATCAGTCTTTGGCAAGATTGCTTGAGCAAAAGGTCTTATGTATTAAAAGACCAAAAAGCCTTGTCGATTGATCTTTTATGCTGCCAAAAGAACAGTTGGTTTCCTCATTATGAATATTCAGGGGGGTTGGAAACCATCCCAGGACACTTCTGCAAAGATGAGTATGTTTAAGCTGTAAAGGATTGACTGAGCCCAGCCCGATCATGTCGGGGTCAGCGGGTTTAAAGGCCCAACTCACTTAGGGGTCGATCGAATGGTTAATCATTTAAGTTTTCCGTATTAATAGTTTGACTGACTTTGCAGCATAATATGCCACGCTCCATAAGCAATTCTACACTTTAATATAAGAATTGGGCTGAATTTTCTGATATTTAATCTATCCCTTTTTATAGATAACAATTAATGACATGGTCCTTAAGCAATGGAAGTAGTAACTTGTTGCTGAGCCGTGATTTATGTAGATAATTTAGAGCTACATGCAGATTCACCCTAGATGATTTCCTGACAATACTCCAAGTCTTTTACCTGATCATTGAGCATAGAGGCAAAACACCGTCCAATCTGATGAAGATCTTTTTCTTCACTGCTACTTGGTGTGATGAGGAGAAGAACGAAGCGCAGAGGAACATCCACCTCAACCAGGCCCGTTATGTTGGTTGTTTGTTCATTTAAGATTCGGACCAGTAGGAACAGGGGCTTAGTGAGACATTTTAAACGGCCAATCATAATGTTACAGGACTCAGAATGTCTGGGCAGGCAAACGGAGAGATATTTATTGGTAAGATCAGATACCGCTTCAGCCTAAAAGGACAAAGGTGTTAACTTCAATTGACTGATTGCTTATCGCTTTATTCAACAGCCTTCCCTTAATGAGACCTTGCAAATATAATTTGGACTAATGTCTTAAACTGATCGTTTCTGGTAATGCCGTAGAGACCGGCTGTTGAAGTATTGTATCTCTTTAACAGGAACTGCCGAAACTTTACCTGTCAAGCAACTGAACAGGATATAAATTCGTGATTACTACACTGAAAAGGAAAAACCTAAAACAGCGTTTCGTTTAAACTTCGTAATGTAGTTACAAAAATCCCACCAAATGATGTTGTAGTGCTGGGCAGGTTATGCAAATTGTGTCCTATTCGTGATCAAATGTCAACAGATTCACTTACACAAGCGCGACGTTCATTTAACAAGATTTTAGTCTTTCTAATTTTAAGTAAGTGAACCCATCATTTTCTGGCAATTTATTTTTAAATGCGGAAATTAGGTATTTGATTTATGACTTTCCTTAAGAGAATTAACATAGACCGAAAGTGATTGCATTCTTGTTATGGAGAGCGAAAAAATTTCCCAACCACGACACAGAAGAAGAGTCTGCCCAAAAAAAGCACACAATGGACTCAAACGCAATGAGGTCAGTTACAGACAAATTCTGCTGCTCAGCGCTTTGTGATGGCCACTTCCTAAGCGGCATTGTGGGGACATTCACTGGAACCTCGTACCTCCAGACCCTCCTCGTCCCAACTAAAGGACCACCTTCAAGCTCCTCTACCCGAAGCGATTGCGAGTGTGCGCGCACTCTACTTTTGGGGTTTGGGTCTCGCTTGTTTCCGTGTCCTCTCTCAACCATTATTCAACTTATGGCGAGGCAGCACCTCTGATCACTGCGAAAACACGCGTCAAGATTATTTCAAAATGGGTGGATGCTCTGTTGAAACAAAAGACCTGTTTCTTTTTAGCCTGAAATTGGGGGCCTTCTAGTTCCCCATTGCGAAAAATCCGAACGTGGGAATTGGCCAAAAAATGAGTACAGTCCAATATTGTAACAAAGTTTGCCTTCTGTGACATACTTTCAACTGCGTTTAATTACTTTTAAACACAATGATACTTACACGGGACACAAGTGAAATGCGTCGTCCGGGCCCTAAAACAGTAAAAGTTACACATTTGCTAACAAATACATTTGGCCCATAAGCATTAAAAAATATTCTAGTATTTCCTCAATGGCCACTAAATTAATAGTTCTAACCGAACCTCAAAGTAATTAAAGTTTGTTTGTTTAGTTTTCATGCAGCTTCTAAGTAGGTATTTTAAAGGACTGTGTTATTCTTCGTGTTCTTATACAAAAACTAAATAGTGGTCTAGCGTCTAAGCACTAGGAATATTTTGGCGGAATGCGTAATTTCGTAATCAGTAAATGCACAACCACTATTTGACCTGACAAGTTTACGACTTTATTTAGTAAATTACGCGAAACGAACCTGTAACGGAGAAACGGGGAAGTCTGTATATGCCTTGGCGGGGGTTGACTTGTGGATGCCACCGGTAGGCCAGCAGAGTGGTCAGCAAGGCCTCGGCGTCGTTGGCACGAGCCAGACACGCGTCATCGGCTGCGAAATTCGCAATCTCTGCCATCAAACTCTCACTAGTTTTAGCGGCACTATTCAGTAGTTTCATGTCTAACAGAAAAAAAAACAAATTTGGACTTGAAAAATTTCTTCATGGAAGTGATGCGCAGCTACAGAGCTATCTTAACAAAAACATTTCCCAAGATATTTCGTGATTTTATTGACAACAAATCATAAATTTTATGCTGCTGCGTAAGTAATATCGGTCTTATTTTTATAATGACGCTCGAGAGTATTTACTATTTATTTTTGTTTTGGATGTGACATTAACTAAGTTACTTAAGTTTCACGAATTAATGTTTCCTTGATCTTGGAATATGCACTCCTTTTGAGCCGTCCTTTGAGTTGCCATTATCCGTGCTTCTGTATTTCACAATTGTCGAAATGCATTATGCTCAATTTTGAAACCCAGAAAAGCAAAACTACTATTTTGCATCCGCAAATTCTGCAAACACTTCGCACCTCTTCGATACAATGAAAGCCTCCAGTTAAAATGCGCTCATTACGTCGAATTTTCATTAGGGTGGGGCACAACTGGAGCACAAAATAATCAATCCCTAAATGGAGGCAGTTGGCAGTTGAATACGTAAATCTATAAAAGAAAGGAATAATCTCCAAAACGAGGCTAATGATCTCCATAACTCTGCAATAATCAGATGATTTATTTAGATAGGATTGTTCACCTGATAAGTTTTTCTAAATTATTGACAGCTTTCGATGGGTTTTTTGACGTCATTGTCTCCTCCATAAACTTCAGCCCTATGTTTCTGCCGTAACATTTTACCTAAAAATGCAATTACTTATTTTTATGGCTCATTGAAAAATAATTTTCTTGTGTTACGACAAGTGGTTTTTAAAACTGCCTTCATTAAGTCGCCTAATTACTTGAGATACTGGATTCAATCAGCTTGGTAAGGAATAATTTATGTGTAAATGCAGGCAAGCAAATTTGAAATTTATCGAAAACGGCCTTGACAATAGAAATATCTGTGTGGTCTTTTGCAGGATGCCACAATCCCAAAGTGATAATTATTTTGTTTTGGTAAACATTTTTTTAAATTTACATGTGATCTCATCCACTAATTCCTCACTCCATGGTATATTTTATCGCTTACCTTCAGACCTGCTACCCCATTGATGGATTAAATTATAATTAAGCCGTAACATGGCATTAGCGCAACCTTCAGTTTCATGTCATATAAATAAGTACGTCTTTTAAATGGGTCTTTATTGGTTACTAAGCTACTGATAAATCAGCTTGTAAACGTAGTTATGCAGTTAGATAACGTACGGGCCAATTTTAGCTTCGCATTGAAATCTGGAAAATAACTCACAATAAAGGAAAGTTGCCCCTAAATAAATTAAACTGTTTTAACTCCAGTATCGGAAATAGTAATAACGCTGTTTCCTCTCTTTGACCTCGTCTTGGTACAAATTGGCCATTGAAAGGTCGTTACGAGCACAAACTAATGAGTAATGGCAGTAAATGCATGAAATAAGTAAAAAACTTTTTCAACACCATAGGTATTATCTAATTTACAGATACCTTGCTGGATTTTATGCCAAATAGTCCCGTTTGTATCTCTGATCTTGGTTAGAAATAGCTCATGCTTTCTTAACAACAGAAAACGCTTTATGCTATGAAACAATAGATACAGGAAATAATTTATTAGGAAAAGCCGATCAAATTTTGCCTGATATAGCATAACCGAAGGTTTCTGAGCTCATAGTCATCAAGAGAACCGTGCATTTACCAAGTACTTACAGGTTCAGAAAAGCGGTTAATTACTTTGACATTACTGACCTAAATTTTCTCCTCAGTAACAACCTTGATGCGATTCGATTCACAAATCTATCCTAAAAACGGCCATTAAAATGTGATTGTTTGAATATTTTGGGAAATACTCTTTAAGCAGTCTTCTTACCTAATACCTCTGTAGCGAATCGCCACTATCTACACGAAGATGGGCGACACTTATCAGTTAAAAGATTTTTGTACATGCAAGTTAAAGGTAGTTTTACCTTTGTTGAAGATATTGCAAAGTCTGTCGAAGTATTGATATGAGATGGATGGATACTGCGGAGTGTTGAATTGCTTCAGGTCATCGTCAAACACCTCTTCGTAGAGGACATAGCGGGCGACCTCTCGCCAAAAGGTGTTTGGTGGAGAGCCAGAGGAAGTAATTGCTATTGCTCCCCGTGGAACTTCCCCATAAGAAAGCTGGCTTATCTCAGTAAATAGCAGGGGTGATTTTGTGTCCTCTACAGCATTTAAAACATTGCCAACTGAGAATTAGCACAAAGGCAACTATGGTCTGCAGAGAATATGTGCATTCATGAATTGTTAATTTGATGACACGCCGCACCCGGTTAAACACGCCTTTTAAAATTGATTTTTTTGAAGAAAAGACGTTCATAAACAGTGGCAACACAAGGAGCATTTCTCAAACCATCTGTGTTTTCCTAGACTTGAGAGTGTCATGTACACGAATTTTCTCACGCTCATTTAATTATAAGGAATTTCTTTTAACTATTTTTTTACACCATTCAGGTTTATAGACTGAGGAAGGTAAATCACAACATTCTGTGCGCGATGATACAGCTCACGTTTTATTTTAAACTGCATTTTTTACTGAACATTTTAAACGCAGCAAAAAGAAAATCGCTGAATGAAACCTGCAAGCACAAGCTTAGACTATATACCCGTATTCGTCGGTATCTTTATCTATTTTTAATTTGACTATGTCAAGAGTTAAATTTACTAAAACTTTGAATCCAATTTGCTCCCAAGACTGCCCACATTCGATGTTTTGGAATTCCATGTCATTGAAATTTTCATTCTATTCTTTCCATCCCATTACATTTAGTGTTTAAAATTGCTTCCAAATAGTCATTTGGAAATAATACTCAGATCTTACGTTATGTTTACTGAACTTATCTATCTGGATTTACCTTCAAATTCATTTTTAAATTGCTGTTTTGAAAATCGTTCGTATTTTTTGAATCTATAAATCATATAGGGTTACAGTTGGTTATTCAGACATTATTTTTAGTGCAAACACAAACAATATATTCTTAATTTCAAGTCTATTGTTATGTTTATCAGGAAGCGCAAAATGCTAGTGTCGCGAAAGACATAACGCTATGATTTAAATTGCCAATCTCCAATTTTAACAACATTCAACTGCTTATTCATTTGCACACATGGCAACCCCACATTTTCATGAAATCTTTTACTTTGATACTTTAAAACAAATAAACCAGAGCAAAACATGAATGTCAAGTCATGCACATTTGGTGATTTTGAAGTATAATAGATTGTTGACAATCATTGCCTTAGTCGTTCTTAAATGTAAGGAAAAGTTACTTAATGTGGGATTGTCAAAGCCTTCATGGTGAATTTGAGGAGTCCCCTATTCCCAACGTATTTTTTTCCGGAAGCACCGGAATTAATTTGGTGTTGCTTCTGCCTCTAGCAAATGTCGACAGGTAAGTATTTCATGTCATGACTATCGCCTATTACTACTGACAGATTTTATACCAGATATCTAATTGATCAGGGACTCAAATTATTTGAACTTGCGATATTTGATTATAATGCACTTATTGAGTGAAAATCTGTTAAGTCAGCATTAAACTGTTTTAAGGCCCTCGTGTGTTGGAACATCATACCTTCTTATTTAGCAATGATCTTCAATCTCTGGTGCAATAATTGTAGGCTCGTGGAGATTGCCTACACCAGAATGAGTCTTCCGTTCCACTACTAAGTAAGGGTTCATTTCATATACTATATAAAACATTACGTTTTGCAGGAAATTTTACACCATTTATCGCATTACGCTTACGCATTGATTCGTTGACGCTCACTTGGTCCCATTATTTTGAATCTTTCTTGTTATAACCCCATGAAAATTCAACATTGGCTTCCATTCTAAGAACGTCGTCAACTGCTACAGCATAATTAAGTTTATCACAATCCCGGTGACTCGTGTTAATTCATAATTATCTAAATCTTTATAAAGAAACATTATAGTGCTGATACGTTGGACCTTAGGTTAAGAAATCTCCGTAATTCTTGAACAGGTGCCAAACACATTGAAAGTGTATAAGCGAAAAAAGAGAAACCAATTCTGTCAAGATAAGAAGGCATGGGGATGTTTTTAATTCCTGCACGATCTCAAACAATTTATTGTTGCCCATAAGTTTTGATTAATTTCAAATCATAGTATTTTATTGGATTTAAAACCTTTTTTAAAAACACCAATGGCTATGTTGTAAAATAAACATACGTTTGAGTATAGATCGTGGTTTGCCTTCGGAATTCCCCTCAACCATGATAGAAAAAGGCCTCTCTGGTCTTTTGACTTGGACAATAGGAAGAAGAATCCGCAACCAATGGTCCTAATATACCAGCACTTCTACTAAGTAAGCTTTCCTGATTGGCTGGACAAGGCTGAATGAGTTTATTGGTCCTCTGAGCTAAGAAAACTAACTACTATTGTTAGCACATTTGCTGTGCTCAAAAGACCGAGTAATATCGCACTTTTTGCTAAAAAGTCTTAATTCTAATCCTCCTCTCAAACTGCTGTTTTCGTCATGACCAACATGAGCCCTGAGAACATTTATGTCTTCGGCTTTTTCAAATTGAATGCTCCAAGTGTCACTATTTTTGCAACTTATTTCAAAATATTTTTTTATAAAATATGGTAATTATGTTCATTTAATCACCTACACTGTATACTGCATGTCTTAAACGCAAATAGGAACGGATACTCATGAACAATTCCTTCCCGTTCAGCTAAGTAATAACTACCTTTGGTCCTAGCAAATACACAGTATTGTTAGTAACAAGAATTGTACGGAAACTTCTCAAGGGCGGAGTATATCCTAAGTGTATGGTTTATTTAAATCGGCAGAAAATAGATTCCCTTGTTTAAGGTCAAAGTTAATAAAAGTGTGTGTTGTCATAATAAATTAATCATGATTTGTTAATCAAGCTATGTACACCAATTCACGTGTTCTTATTTTACAATGATTTTCGACCATGTCCTCGGATGTGAAAAATTGTTTTTACTTTCTGGCTTTCTATGGCCCCTAGTTACAATTTAGAGTTTGCATGTTGTAAATATACGTTAAAATTTTTTAGCTGCGTTATTGATTCATATGCGTTTTTATTGATAAATGAATTTCATTTTGAGGTCATTGCAACTTTCATTCCTTCTCTACGTTCATTATTCGGCGCATGAACTTATTTTTGCCGATTTTTCAGCAACTTTACCTAATATTCTAAAAAAACAGGAGACAAATGTCTTAGTCTTGGAAATATCGTCTATCGCTTTCTATGACTGCGCCATCTCTCGGATAACGTACTAATGTATTCCCATAAGAATCTTGCGGATTGCGTAGTAATAATATCATCGACGTATTTAAGCACATCGTCCAGCATTCTGAATTATTTATCCACCTTGGCGCGTTCCATTGACCGAAGCAAATGGTGGTCAGAAAGAGATCTAAGTCTGGCAAATATGCCGCTTGTGGGAGAGCTTCCCATATTAAGTTTAAGAGAATCTTCTGAGTCGCGCGAGCGAAGTGAGGTCGAGCGTTGCCATGCAGCTGTATGATTTGCCTGCTTCTTGTTCACTAAATGGCCTTTTTCTGATTACGGTCTTCGATCGATTTAGTCAGTTCTAGGCTGAAGCGGGCCGTAGTCACCGTCCGACCAGTTTCCAGGAGTTCACAATAAAGGGCACCCGTCAGGCCCCCCCTAGATACAAGGGATATCTTGTTTCGACATCGATGTACTGGGTCGCTCAGGGTCTACCCACGATTTTTTGCTTTTAAGGATTCTTGAAAAAGAAACTTTACACCACCAATCACACCTTTTCACAAGAAGTGCCTTTTTGTGAAGGCCATGTGTTCATATGTTGATTTAGATTGTGTTCGGTCAACACATGTAGAGCACCAAACTTCCAAGTTTTTAAAATTTTTCCCACTTGGTGGTGAAAACGCTTGAAAACAGCTGTTTGGGTAACTTCTAACCGAGATTCTATAGGCTCATGTTTCGTTTGCGTTTAATCTTCATCCAGTAAAACTTGCATTTCATTATCTTTACATTTTCGAGGCTCTTGTCGCGGGCGCGGCTGGTTACTAAGATCGAAATTACCGCTTCTAAAACGTCTGACCAGTAATTATACATTGCATTAGACACGAAATTGGCACCAATAACACTAAAATTGATTTCCGTGCTTTTGAAGCATTGTTTCTCTGTTGGAATTCGTATAAAATGCAATGCCGAATGTGCTGTTTGTCAGTTGCCGCCGTAAACTCTGCTATTCTGATAGATTATGTAACTCAAGTAGATATGTCTTTTGGTGTTCTGAAACCTTACATCCGATTCTTGTCAATACCACAAAAGACCTCGAAAGTATTTATATTTTAAATACTAGTCTAAGCTCAAAGAAAAATCTCTACAACTTAAGTACATCCGAAAAAGAGCTATCATGAGTGAAAACGAAGCAGCATGCTTATTTTTAAAATAACACTTTGACCACGTATTTTACAAATAAATAAACTCGTGAATGCATTTAATTCTTGTTTGCAGTGGACTGGATACGTAATTGCGTGACAGCAGCTAGCCAGTCTCTGGAAGATCGGAAACTACTCAACTTTGAGCCTGCGAGCCAAAGTGAGATTAACATTTCTCTATCTGTTGGAATATACAACGGAACAAATACATGACCAATATTTTCGTTTATTTTCTTTAGTTGATTCCGTAGTTTAGCGTTACGAGATGTGTTGCATGATTCTGTATTAGTAGAATATCAAACTAAGGGATCCAGTAACTATTTTGAGCAATCGCAATATGTTATAGGAAATCTTAACTTCCCTTACTACAAATGGTGATTTGCAGTCCTTTCGAGTATTTTGCTCCTCAATTCAATTCTCCGTGACAATCCAGTAAACTATTTGAGCATCCAGGCTACCGGAATCAGACGTTTATGGAAAGTGCAATTCTTAACTTGGGAAAATCTAGCTAAATACCTCCACGATGAAGCGCAATCAACACCATGTCATTAAATTTTCAATTTCCTTTTATAAATTTTTTTATTAGACCATTGCATATATTTTATCATAATATTGAAGTCAGCCTCAATAAGACCGCTTTTGTCACCAGTTTTTATTACCTTCGTTTTGACTTTCCAGAACTTAGTCAGCACTACTTCTAATCCAACTCAGAAGTTGCCTTAAAATCTGAGTTGAAATAAATATTGTCTGTTATAGTGTGTACCATTTTTTGAGTCGCAGCACTTTAGGTTTGGCAAAATATCGTGGAC